TATATATATATTCCATGATTTCTGAGTGCTGTGAATCCCGCTCTAAGTGTCAGCATATTAGCATCTGTAGTCAGTTGACAGAAATTTTTGTACCTTGTGAAGCTAAAATCACTTTGACAAAGATTTAAAGGGGCATGAGTCCTTCAGCAAATAGAAAGCAAATATATTCTTTAGGCTACAGAGCCTGAAGATTTCCCCTTAAAACGGCAGCTGTCCGGAGTACAGACCCGACCTCATGCTGAGAAGCAGCTGGGGACTGACACTGTTTATAACCACCTTTTTTCTATTTTCTGGGAAGTAGCTACCTTTCTGACCTAACTTTTTGAACTGTGTATTGCTTATTTTGATTGACGTATCTATCTCGAAGGGAGACCAATGAGATATTTGGAGAAACATTTTACCTTTTCATGAGATACTGTTTTTACTGTAATTTTAATCATATTTTTGGATATTACTGCGATTCTCCTACAACACTTGGTGTGGTTGTAACTAATGTCAAGTCATTGCCTGTAAGGAATTACTGGACTGAGTTATTGCTGAAAAGGTGTTGAAATAACTGCTCACGAAAGACACAGTGAAATGGTTTAGTAGTGCTTACTTGTTAGCTATCTTTTCCCTATCTCTGAATCTATTTCGTATCACTCTGTCTCCCTAACTACACATCTTATAAATGATCATAAAGGGCAGAAGCCCAGCTTACTGCAAAAATGGACCTGAACAACTGCATGAGGAATAGCTGCTGGCGACTAATGTCATCACAGTAACTTGTTTATAATCGGAGGGAGGATGTGTCGGGAACTTTCTTCCCCATGTCATGCCAGAATGAGTTGCACAGCTGTGTTTGAACAGTAATTAACATCTGTATTGTAAACCACAGCAGAGTGTAAACTGGACCTACTGCCAGGAGCAATGACCTGAGGCAGCTTATATGTTAGAGAGTGATTAATATATAATTTCAAAAAAGTAAAAGTTCTTAATTTATAAGTTTTTCAATTTCTGGTGCATCTGGAGAAAACTGAATCTTCTATCATTTTTTCAGAAGTCACAGATGACCCACAGATCACCCTTTCTATACAGGGCACTTTTTGAGGTGAAGGACACAGAGCAGAGCAAGCGTATTTTGTGAGATCAAAGCCAGACTACTTCCTGCTTATCCCTTAGATTCATGATGTCCAAAGCTTTCTGCTGTAATGGAAATGTTCTACATCTGTGCAACCCATTAAAAGTAATGGTTAGTTGTATCTGGTATTGAGCACTTGAAATGTGGTTAGTTGGACTGAGGAACTGAAAGTTTAATTTGATTCAGTTTTAATTAGTTCAAGTTAATTAGCCATACATGGCTGGTGTCCATGGTATTAGTACAGTCTTAGGTTCAAGTTCTCCCAGCTTTTCTGTCTATTGGGGGAGTTTTCTTGAGTAGTAAGCTAAGCAGAGCTGTCCCCTGTAGGAGATGGGGCCCGGGGCAAGGTTCTCAGGTCATTGGGGGAATGGCCTAGGAGGACCCTGGGCTTTTCTTCCTGTTGCTTCTGCTTCCTGGCAGGAAGAGTGGTTTGAAATACAGTTGGGGTCACCACTTCCTGACGTGAGTGCATTACTCGACCCCACACACCCACCCTGATGTGCTGCCTCCTCAGAGGCCCAAAGCAATGAAGACACCAGACCTTGGACTTGAGCCAAAATACTTCCTTTCTTTTTATGTCAATTATTTTTTATATTTTGTTAGAGAAATAAGAAGCTGATTAATGCAGTTATGTAGATTCAACCATTACAGTCTCCGTGTATTTTATTTTTGTCTTACATTCTACCTCATTCCAGTTTGTAGATTCACATCTGTATGTGTCTAACAACCACTGCAGAAGCAAGTGACATCTCTCATATTCGGACTGTATTTCAGAAAGATGCAAGACAGCTTAATATGATCTAAGATTCTTTAAGATTTTTTAAGTGAACATGATGCTTTTATTTAAATCAATATATATGCTCATAGGTGATTCTTCTGTTGTTCTCAGGCATGAGGTCATTTTTTGATGTGCCTGCTGGACAGTTCAAAGATAGGATGTTGCAGAGAAGCCTGCCTGCTGTGAGACAGAAATACCCCATCTGAGAATGAATCACACATCTCAGTTCTGGATATCCAGGTAGATCCCAGTGGAGTGGAATAGAATTTAAAGACATCTATGATGCCCTGAAAGGGCAAACAGGCACTGCTGGTGATGTTAGAAGAACCTATTCTACAGTGCTCTCATCCCAGCCTATGAAACAGAAGCTTCTCTCTATAATGTAATTGTATCCCTTGGGAGCATTGAAGAATGAGCTTCACATCAAAGAAAGTAGAAAGCACACTCCAAAGGTTCTGGTTACCTCTTGGTACACAGCCCCTGAGCCAGGCATACTCTCTGTTCTGCTCATTCTAAATTACTGTCAGCTGTTGCGTCATTACTTTAGTCCATTTCTAACAAATAAGATGACTTAATGAAATCACATGCACTGAACTCATTACAAGGACCTGTGCACGTCTGTGTGTGTACACGTCAGTGTTTATAAAGATAGAAAGTCCCCAGGAAGCAAGGCTGAAGTCCTGAAAACCCCAAAATATTTCTCTTCTGCCCATTTTGGGGAAAGCTTGATCACACGGTCCTTGTGAATAATTGCTTCAGTTCTAGACTGCTGCATTAACTTCTGGTCTGAGCCCGCATGAGGCAGAGGTTGACTGTTATTGTTACCTAGTGTCAGTGTGCCTGTGTGCTGAGTCTGACAATGTAGTTGGCTGCTATTTCCAGGAAGAGGTTGGAGCATGATCACACCTCCATCTCACCTTCAGTGATGTCCGGGTAGAGCCCTCTCTCTCCCTCTGCCTCTCCCTCTCCTTTTGGGTCTGGGCTTGTATAAAGGGAGTGAAACACTTGATAAAAACTGATATAATTTTTATCCAGGGCTATATTACTTATTGCCCTCAGGATAATGTTTCAGTACCCTGAAGAAAATTAAGACTAAATTAAAAGTCAAAGTTTCACCAACTGAAATTAATAGTCTCAAGAAGGATGGGAGTTGGGTGGGGCAATGATTTATGTTCTGACCTTGTTAATTATCAACAATCTCCAACTGTCTCATAGAATAATAAAGTTCTGATTCTCTACGTATATAGTTCTGCTTCTGCATGTAAGTTCTGCTTCTCTATAATGGGCAATTTCTATCATAAAATATGTCATAAGTGTCACTTTTACCCCAGTTCTCACCTTTCCAAAAAGGGGGCTCACTTTCTTCCCTGAACAGTAATAGAAGATGCTCCCTTTTTCATTCTCCCTTCTGTCATGGCTTTTCCTCACAAGAAAAGGAAGTGAATATTGGCCAATCATACACTGATGCAGAGTTCTGCATGGGGTTATGATGCCTTTAAGATTATGGTCACTTGTGTTCTCGTTCTGTTGGGCTCTGCAAGCTTAATGAGATACACAGATGGTCAGAAATTCCCATATGGAGCTTTGCAGGGCTTTATAAGTCTATCTGCACAACAAAATACCTGAGGCTGGGTAATGTATGTAGAAACAAGGTTTATTTAGCCCACAGTTTTGAAGAGAAAGTCAAAATAAAATGATGCTGGCTCTGGAAAAGCCTCCCCTGATATCATGGGAGAGATCCCAGGGGAAATAGAAAGCCAGAAAGAATCAAAGCAGAAAGTCTTGCTTTTTAATGACAACGGTCTTACAAGAACTAAGCAGGGTCATAAGAGCACTACCTCGTCCATTCCCGTGGTAACAGCCTCAGTAACCAATCCCCTCCTGCTAGGCTCCAACTCAGCATTTCTACCTTCTCCCAACATCACTGAGGACCAAGCTTTCAACACGTGAACCCTGGGACGGGGCACACAGACCATACTGAAACCATAGGAGGAGTGAGAGGGGCATACATCCTCCTTCGACTCTCCTCAGACAGGGCACAGGAGTTCCTTGACGTCTTTGGGAGGAGACAGTATCAGAACCTTCTTTGCTTTTGTTCTCAACCCTTCCTTTTGTCTGACTGAGGGTGTTAAGAAATGAGAATTGAGAGTAAGCAGCTCACCCTTTCTTTGCCTTTTCTGTTTTGAACTTTTCTATTTAAACCCATGTTTCCTTCTTTTGAGAACTGAGCTCACAGGGACAGTCTCTACTCCTCCTGGTGTTGTCCTAACATTTAGCATGGGAGTTCAACTCAGGGCAAATACTCTCAGATCCAAACATTAATTAAACATGGCCATAGCTGCAGGGCGAGAGAAAGGGGTCTATGTGGAGTTCCTTGAAACACCCAACAGGTCAGTGTCTGCTCGGGTTGACTTGGGAGGCAGAAGACTATACTTTAAACAACATCTCAATGATTAATTTGATTTAGACCACGTTACTATTTCATAATGGATAGGACATGATAGTAATGAATGATGAAAAAGTTATTGTTCAATGAGCCAGGCATCCATGGGAAAAGAACTGAAAGCCCTAAATCTCCAACTATGAAATGTGGAGTTTGTGGCTAAAAAAAAGAAAAGAAATATGAAACAATTCAAGTCACATTTTCTAAGTTTGAAAGACATATTTCCCCTTCTGAGTATATTTCAGTATTTTAATCATGTTACATTGGTAAGGGGTTACGATGATCCATTCCTGGTACCCCTCCGGACCCAAGTCGACTACCCCTCGAAACTCAGCACAGCTGAAAATATATTAGAAATAGGATTTTCCCCAATAAATAGGAAGGAATGGAGAACTGTTTAATTAAATGATTTTTATTTCCATACCGTATAATGAAAAGCTCTTCATTAGTGGAGGAAAGTGATACAAATTCAGCAAAGCTTAGTACATCAGTAGTGACGTGTCCACCACAGTCTCACTGTGACACACTCTTTCAATGACTACAGAACCAAATTTCACTTTGCATCTAGGAACTACAGTAAAAAAAGTTTTTTTCTTACTTTCTAAGAAAGAAAATTATTACAGGAAGGCAGCAGTTATTAAATAAATTAAAAGCATCTTTAAAGTTTTTCCATATACATATATAATATATATATTTTTATAATTGCCATTCACTGTACAAGCATTAAATTCTCGGCTAAAACATTTACAGAAACAAGTGTGACAGGTTGAAGGAAAGTCTTAATTTTTAGAAAAATGGGATCATTTTATTAATTATAAACTACATTGAAATACAATTCTCAGGGGAAGAAAAACTATACAGAGTCAGACTTACCCAAGATCTCTTATAATTGCTTATTTAATCTTACACATCAGATGTGCGTATCTATTCTCAATTCAACAAGAAATCAATGTCCAAACATTAGTTAATTTTTAGCAGAGAAAGGTGAAAGCAGCAAGCCTAAGCTGAGTAGTGTAATTACACAAAGAATTTTATAAGTCAGATGGATGATAGTATTACTCATGTATGACTGCCTATGAAAGTATTGAATGGGCAATAGGAGCTTCATACGGAAATACGAACATACAAAACTTTACCTTAATAAATGACCATCGGTTAATATATAGCTAGGTGAGTATAAAAATTAACCTGGAATACTGTAGTCCTGAGAGCTGAGGAATCCAATCTTCCAGTTTATGTTCTACAAGCTTGAATCTTGTAAATTGTAATTATTTACACTGGTTATAACAAAGTATTCCTAAAATACTGTATTGACATTAGCAGTTCCTTGAGATGCACAGAACAGATACTGAGGAAAGAATTCCCTTTGTGTGTGTGTGTGTGTGTGTGTGTGTGTGTATGTGTGTGTGTGAATCCCACACTGGGGGACAGCTAGCGGAGTGCTTGGGAATGGGAAACTTGTATGATTTTGAAAATGTCATTTATAAATGTGGTATCTCTTCTGACCCATGCCAATTTAGTATTAAGAAATTTATAAAAAAAAACCCATAGGAATTATATAGAAACTATTACCTAACAAATGGAGAAACAGGAATGTATTTAATTTTATATTTTAAATAAATGTCATTAATTGAATTGTCAGTGCGTTTGCATCAGCCTTCACTACTGAGAAGCAGTCTTTCTGTATTCTTTGGGAATAGTACTTTTTTTCCATTTAAGTCACTATATGTTCTCAATTCAGTAGAGGGTTAAAAGATCACCCAGAAAATACTGGTGAAGTCTATTTCCATTGCACAAGCTTTTTCCTTGTGCAGTAAACTTATCCTATCAAGTGCTAGTAAAAATAAATCTTAATTAGTTGAAAATTTTTATTATTTAGAGGATATTTTTGCCCCTGTAGATTTAATCTGTAGTAAGTAGTCACTGATTCATATTAAGAAAGGTAATAGACATTTATTGCATACCAAAGGCTGAGACATGATATTAAGACCTGCCAGACACATCTCTAGGAAAAACTAAGAATTTAATCAGATCTACCAAGGAATAAGAAATCTTCTTTTTCAAAAGACAGTATGACTAGGATATGTTAGCCAAACTCTGGTCTTTTTTTGTCTTTTAAATTTGGCTCTTGGTGTGAAAAAGTATTAAAGTTAATTTCCTCCCTCACCTCAATTTGAACCTTTAAGTTTATGGTAGCAGAACAAAAATGAACTGGAGGAAAATAAGTAACTTAGGCACTAGAACTTAACTCACTTTTGAGACTTGGTAGGTCTCATTCAGGGTTAATACACACTTACACCAATGCTTGTGTAATTCAAAAGTGGCAAAGAGCCTCTTTTCATGGCAATATTTTAAAAATAGGTTTCCAATAAAATATCACTTAGACCACAGAGAACGCCACACTCATTTACCAACACCGAAGTGTAGGATCCTCCCACATTTGGCTTATGAACAGAGACACTTGTAGAGTCTTATATCAAACACTCTCACACCTTCAAGGAAGATGTGTATGAAATAGCTCGTACTAGAAACCCAACATTTCCATGCCTAATGGGCTATCCAGCTCAAGGGCTAAGCCTCTTCATTTCACCGTAGAGGACACGTAGAGCACACCATTAATGCAGTGCCTCTCACAAAACAGATGTTCAACAAAACAAATTTTTATAAATTTGACTGAACTACCATAGAAAGCTATGTGCAGAAAGGGAACAAAACCCCAACTCTGCTGATTCTGCAGTCTCAGAATGGGCTTAGTTATTTCTAATTGCCAGGTGAGACTGAACTAGAATGAGGACTAACCACAGACCCACCGTTAGTGACCACCCCTAGCCTGAAATCACTTCTGTTTCTCAAGTAAATACAGTGAGTGAAAGATTTTTGAAACACTTTTCAAGGGTAAAAATATGAGATAATTATGACAAATGGAAACGGGGGGGCAAGCAGTGTCTGTATTTGACTCCCTTTCCTGGTGGATAATTTTTAGTGAGTTTTGCTAAAGAGTAGATTTCATGATGGAGGCAAGAACTCAGACTTACACGACGAATGGCATTTAATGCATGACAACAGTCTCCACCGTGGGTTTCACAGTTTTTGAGCCTCAACCTCCCGTGAAGTAGAAGAATATCAAGAGGAGGAAAAACTTAATGGCTTCAAGAAAGATTTTCAAATTCAGTTGAGGGAACAAGTGAAAATATTTGTGGAAAAAAAGTACAGGAGAGGAACTGCATTTGATTTTCAAAATGTGAGCAGCTGATTCCCTTCTGTGGGATGCAGCGACATGAAAACAACTGTGTTTCCGGGGAAACGCCTGGGTTCAGTGGTAACTCCATGCACACTCTCGGTTGCTTCCACTGCTTTTGGTAATTGAATGTTGCTTACTAGAAATAAAATTTCTAAAAAAGGATCCTATGTAGATTGAGTTACAGAAGCATATTAAGTAAATCTTACAGGGGGCCCAGGCACTGACATGTGAAAACACAACACACACACACACACACATTCACACACTCAACACAAATTCTCACTCAACTTACATAGTGTCTAATGGAAAAAGGATAAGCAAGTCTTAGAACACTAAAGATATTAAACATCAAATCAGTTGGGTTATTTAGCACTTGCTGAGTTTTTCATGAATCTAACGCAATAATCCTACTTAAAATATGAAGTTACTATTTCCCATAGTCCTTAGACGAGCAGAGATAAATGATAAGCGATTGCTGCTTTTCCAATAGATTTTTAAGGCCCATTACAAAAATAAATCAGCGTGTTTTCTCCAAGAGATCTAAAAACAATTTGCTAGTTTTTTATGCATGATTAAAAAAGAGAAAAAGGTGTCCATATTTACTAAAGTCTTGCTTTTAGTTACATTCAAAAACAAATATAGTCCAGTTCTGTTTTCCGGGAATCATCAGGTAATTTCAGATTCTCTTTTGAATATTAAAAAATCTTTTGGAACACAATGCATTGGCAGTGCAAAATAAAAAAAGGTCCATAAAAATAAACTAATGATTGTATTAAACATCCAAAGGAGTTCTTTGCCAGGTTATCTGCAAGCACAGGACTCTACTGTCATGTTAGGGTAGACTTTGAGCACGACGTTCTTGTTTTCATCGAAAAATAAGATGCTGAGTGAGGACATCCTCTCTGGCACGCAGCAAGGCTCCGGGATCCCGGGGATGACCCCTACCGCTCTCACTATACTCTGGATGGTTGCATGATTGGACGGCTTCAAAGACTAGAAAAAGACACAGGAGAAGAACACATACGTTAGATGGACCTGTTGTGTACTCCTTTCTCTCCTTAAAATGCTCGCGTAAAATGCTCACATCATCATTTTCTCCTGAGGATTTAGTAACACCCTGGTACCCTTGCAACTGCACATTCAGCCCCTCTTTCCATAGCACCCGCCACAAAATAGTTATTATTTATGAAGCGCCTGCTATGGCCCAGGCCTTTTATGGATAGTTCCACTAATTCTACAAAGGAGCCACCAGGTCTTACAAAGACTCAAAAAGCTTAAGTGACCTGTGTGAAGTCAAATAGGCTGCAAGTGGCAGAGTGAGAATTTGAACAGTTCTCTCAGTTGAAATCATTTAATTACGAAACAACTTAGTCTCTCATCATGGAACCAACATTCTAGGTGTTTTCAGGAACAGGACTGCAACAACTATCAAATAACTTGTATCTGACGTTCTACTGATTATAAGGAACCCTAACAATTACTGCCATGGTTATAGTGATATTTGTGCTTATAGTATTAAAATACAGCTACTCAGGATGAGGGACATTTATTTATTTATTTCACAGTTGGCAAGAGGATGAGTTGGATAGTGGCCCTTCCACTAATGTTAATTATTCAACATTCAGAAACACAAATTGGGGTTAAAAAGATCACAGCATTGACCACTGGGGGTCACTGTTGCTCCACAGGTTTAGACAAACTTAGTTGCATTGAGTTCTAAGGGTAAGTTATGTCCTCTGGGAATAAACTAGGGGGCCTGAGGTTATCCCAAGGATGTCAGAAGTTTGACCAAAAAAGCCTGGGTTAGATCTCTTCCCTGAGAAAATTTCAAATGGGACCATTAACATCCATGCGAAACATGTGGTTTTGTTTAGAAAGCCTCATACTCCTCTGCTGCACCTAAAAACCCTGGAGGATTTACAAGCCCGGAATATGAGGAATGACCAGCACGGCCAGGGGAGCACCAGAAGAGGCACTGGATTTCTCAGCATCAGTTCTCCCCAGTGTCTCTTTGCCAAGAGAAACTGCTCTACTTTTATTTTAAAACACATTTAGAAATACGTATTTGGGGGCTATAGGTGTAGCTCATAGAGCACCTGTCTAGCATGTATGAGGCCCTGGGTTTGATTCTGCACAGAAAAAAAAAAAAAAAATCTCAAAACAAAATACTTCAAATGGAAATTTGTAACTCACCAGAGATCAAGTCAGGATAAGATTTAAACCAAAACTCTAGTGGTAGAATTTCAGATTTTGAGCCAAGTTTCTTAAGGCTCTGGAAGCACCCCAATGAATTGAGATACGAATTTCAAACCCCCAAGCATCAGAAACTTCAATGAAAGGTTAAGGATATATACAAGCCAAGGGAGAAGAAAACACGCCAAGCCTGGCACATTGTGAGAATGAATGGACGGAAAGGCTCTTTTTGGCAGAGAAAGGGAAAACCTGATTTGTCTCAGCTCATCTTTTGATTTCAATGAAAAAAGTTATCCACAAATTAGGCTTCAACTTTATTGTGAATAGATGTAAATAATTTTAAACATTAGTCTTCACGATTGGCAACTGATTTTACTTCTTCCTACAAACTTTATGTATTAAAAAGAATAGTAAACTTTCAATTAATTAGCTTTAAGCCAGACTACTCTGCTTTGCATATTGTGTGCCTTGTATTTTCAATATCTGTGTATTTTACACAAACTACACTGTAGCATAGATGTCGCTAGTCAATGCCTGCTATTTCACAGGTATTGATAATTTCTTAAACAAACACAATGAAAGATACCATACACTTTTTTCTATTGACTTGAAGTTATTCTGATAACTCAATCATCCAGCTTGTCAGAAACCCACAAAAAGTTCTTTAAACCAGCATTTTCTGACATAATTCTGTTGTTGTTCATGTTTGCTGGCTCCTAATAATTCAAATTCATCCAAAGTAGATCTACACCATTAGATGAGCCCCTCAGCAATGAATGCTGCTCTCCTTGCTGTTTCTCAGTGCCTACGACAGTGCAGACTCTGGGGAAACACTGTGAAATGGATGAGATACTTCTAAGAAGCAGCATGCCCTCCTTTTTGCCTACTTTGGTGGGAATAATTCCCATCAACAGGAATAAAGTGTCTGTGCAAATAACCTGGTATAGATATGGAAAGTATTCCTGGGTGTTTCCCAGGAAAATTCCCATCCTTAGTTCCAACCCAGACAGGATGGACTCAGGAACTGAGCGCAAGAGCAGTCTCTGGTGGACTCACCAGAGCACAGACACAAGCCCTTATTAGGGGTAGGTGTTTCCTATCAGACACTGCTCAGATTGCCAGGGAGTGTCCCCGTTATCCTCAGCGTGGAATCCTCTGATCAAGCTGCGATTACCAGGAACAGTTATGCCACGCACAGATGATCCATGCTGTAATTTGCTGGTGTGAAGCGCATTGCCAGTGCATGCCTTTTATTTGTTTTTGAATTCAGATCACGTTTCCCACGACTCTCTTTGCTAAGCTGAAGAAAAGAACAATCACAAATACAAATTGGTGCTCTTTCCCTCACCAATCTCTCTTTTTAAAGAGGATGAAACACTTCTTCAATGTAAACTCAGGTAATTTACCTAGGTGATTCAGCATATCAAGATGTAATGTTTTAGTGTCCACCTTCATGTTCAAAGATTAGGATTGGGAAATTCAGGAAATTCGTTCAGAGTGTACCATGTTGAACTCTTTAAATGTGTGCTCCTTTATATGGCTCAAAGTATTTTAGTTATTTACTGCCTTATTCTATTGTCTTTGCAATTCCTAGCTTTTGCACAGTTCCTAGCAAAAATAACTTCATTCCTCTAATCCTTGTCGGTTTCTTGGATCTCTGTCAGCAACAATGGCTCAATCATTCTCATTTGAAATTTCTATTCTCCATCTCTGTGAAGGTGGTGAGGGAGGCAAAGGCATAGAACTTGGCTTTAGCTTTATGGGTATTTTTCATCACATGGCAAAATTCCAAGAGTCTCTCTCTGGGACAGCAGATTGGCTGTAAAGCCTAGAAATCAGACAAATCCAAACTGCCATGTCTGTGAATGAAATCTACGGTGGTTAGGCCTGCACCTGCCAAGCTGTGTGTGCTGTCCTCTCGTTGAATTTGATTACAAATGAATTAGCAGGGGAGAGGATGTCATCGGCAGAGAGCTTTCATTCCTGACCCCAGCCATGAGGTTCTGCTCCACACTCTCCCAGTCCAGCCCACATGGGTGTGATGGCCCAGAAACTATCTAATTGGAATCAGTGAAAGGGCAAAGCCTGGAATTTGGGGAAGGCAGAGCACAGCTGTTCTGCATTACAGAGCAGGTTGTCGACTTTTGCAGACAAACAGCCTCACCATATAGAGCAGGCTTTCTTTCATTCAAGAGGCCAAATAGGGAGGAGGGCCAACAGGGGAGTCTGGCCTGGGAGAGCTGTTCTCTGGGGTGAAATGTATATCTTAGGTCGCAGAGTTCTTTGGTGTTTCAGTTATTCCACACGTTCTACTGCTCCGATCAGAGACATTCATTTTCCTGATGGTCAGACTCGAATCTTATTTAAATAGTTCTCTCTAGCTGCCATATTGGAGACTGTGCTGAAAGCAGAGGTGCTCAGTAATTGCCCTTTCCTTTTTCTTCATGTTTCCTATCCTTCTGGTTATGGGCCTGCTCGAAAGACACAAAGCTTGGAAAGCTTTAAAATGTGAGCAGATCCATACAAGGTGATGAGAGAGTGAGAATGGTTTGTCATGGCCAAACTCCCACTCTCAGCTTGGCAAAGGGAGCGCTCGAGCCCGGACAGAAGGCTTCACACGTACCCCTGTTACGTCTCCCTGGAGCTCTGATGCCATTCCAAGTTTGGACAAATATTCTGAGGAGTCCAGTTGCTGCAATGGACGCACTCCGGAGACTATTGCTTTCCAGAGAACTGCACTGGGTTGCTCACAGGCCGCTGAGCCCACAGGGCTACTCTCAGCTTTGTGATGCTGGAAAACTGTGTTTACAGAAACACTTACAAAACTATTTTCGTCTTACTATTTTTTTCTGTACCCTTATGCCTCAGTCTTTCATCAGTCCCCTACATTTAAATTCTATTTTCCTCAGTCTCGGCAATGGCCATGCATAGTAACATCAATAGTAAATATTTATTGAATATGTGCTTACTAAATGTCAGGTATTGTACTATCTCATTTGCCACTCTTTTTATTATATAAGTACTTTTCTTTTTATTGTTTACTGTTTTACCCAACTCAAAAATGATAAAACTAACCTTATGAGAATCATATAGCTAGTAAGTGTGGAACCAAGACTCAAACTAAAAGACTTTGCCTCTCGGTGTTGTTAATTCCAGCACAATTTGTGATTCTGCAGCACCAGTATCACTTGTTAGATATGCGGAACCTTAGTTCTACTCCCATATCCACTGGATCGGAGCCTACATATTAACAAGATCTCCATTTGTAGGTAAATTAAGGTTTAAGAACCCTGCTGTACAGTGGCACAGTGCCTGCTTGGCAAGCCTGAGATCCTGAGTTTGATTCCTGGTACCAAAAAAAAAAAAAAAAGAAAAAGCCTGCTGTGATGAAGCATGTCTACGTACTTATTCTGCAGCAACAACATACTTCTTTCCTTAAATTTAACTCTGCTAGTCTTAATTTATCCCTCATCAGTTTACTTTGATTGACTGACTAATTGATTGACTGTAGTATAGGGATTAAATCCAGGACCTTCACACTGAGTTATGTCACCAGACCTTTTCATTTTTTTTTTAATTTGAGATGAGGTCTTGCTGATCACTAAATTGGCCAGGGTAGGTTCGAACTTGCAGTCCTTCTGCCTCAGAGCTCTCAGTGTGCTAGACTTAAATTTCTACTGCACTGAGCTAAATTTTAAATTATCATTCTTTATATCACTGAGCACCTTGGCCAGGCTCTTCTGAAACAACAGCTAGTTTGTGAAAAGTGAGACCAGGCACAACCAAGAGAGGAGGGCGAGCTGGCAGCAATCGTGGCCGGGAGACAGGGAGCGGCTCTCTGGAGTGTGGAGATGAGCAACAAAGCCACTGAGTGTCTCCACGTGAGTACGACTCTGCAGGCTAAAAGCTGGAATCATCAGGGCAGAGAAAAACTTCTTCCCCAGGTGGTCCAGAAGAAATGACAACCTAAGAGAGAGTGAGGGGCTTTTGAAAAACCCAAATTCCACTTTAAGTCAGTCATCCTGGAGTAAAAAAAAGTTTTTTTATTTTTTTTCCTGTACCAGAAATCGAACTCATGAACTTGCGCTTGCTAGGCAGGCGCTGTGCTGCTGAGCTAAATCCCCAGCCCCTAAAAAAAGTTTTTAAAAATTTCATTCTTGGTTCTCAATGCCACCAGGCAAGCCGTGCTGTAAAATGAAGATCCATCTCTACTTGTTACACTTGTCCTCTCTCTCCTGTACTTTTAAATGTCATCCCATTTGAATGAGTTTTATTTGATCACTGAAATGTCCTTTGTGAATCTTCAGGTGAGCAAAGGTGTCTATATAATTGTAAATATATCACTTCATGTTTACAAGGCATGAAGTCATCACAAATCCACGGGAACAACAAGGTCTTGGAAAATGTAGAACATTCATTTTTCCGAAGCATTCTAGAGGAAAAGGGGGATTCCAGTGCAGTTTGTAGCCCCAAGGCTGACCCAGCCTTGTGAGGTCCACCAAATGATTCTAGATAGGACCAGCACATCAAAATGCTTCTATAAAGGCCCCTAAGCAGAAAATGGTCACTATCCCAGGCAAAGGATCTTTTTCCTTATTATAATACACTAACAAAGTTAACTCAGGTTTTGCAAAGAAAAGAATATATGCTTCCTCTGAATTCTGTTTCTTCAGTCATTTTCCATAGTGTGACAGAGATTCCAACTGTTTCAAGTTGAGAACAGAAATACAGCAATAAGCACAGCTGAGGGCTGGATAACACCCCTACATTTCACTCTAGATTGAGCACACTATGCTCTACACTCACAGAACTGTCATTTGCACTTGCTGTGCAAGATGGAAGTGAGGGCTGGAGAGACTTCTGAAAGTATATTTGTCAGGATACTGAGTACTGATACAAACTGTAGCTCCACTGGTTTTGGAAGAGATAGGTAATTTCTGACAGTTTGGGGCCTCAGAAGAAGTTGACAGGGTCATCATAACCCAGTTTGCTTTCTTTTTTGATATTTAGCAGGGAAGCAAATGAAATAAGCATCTGGTAGATTTCAGGAAGCCCCTTTACCTAGCCAAACTCTGACCCTGAGCTCTGTGGGGACAACTCATCTCACAAGAAACTCCTTTTTAAAAATTGTTCTGTATGGCATGAGTGACTGCCTGGCAAGTGTGGTCCTGAGTTCGATTCCCTGTACCTACCCCCACAAAAAAAATTGTTCTATAGCAGGCCATTGGCCCGATTAATTCTTCCCTGCTTCCATAGAATTCACTCATTCCCTGAATACTCTTCAAAATTCAATCTCCTCTTACTTGGGGTTTGCTTACTGTGGACAGGTAGAAATTCACGCATGCCCATGTCACTCAATGTGCACCATGCTTTTTTTTTTTTTTTTCTTTGGTAGCCTGAATCAACCTCAGGACCTTGTGCTTGCCAGGCAGGCGCTGTGCCACTGAGCTATATCCCCGGCCCTGTGCACCAGGTTTGGAAGCAACACAAAATATATATTTTACACATCCTTTTCTTCATATTGTTCATACCTATACTGATCTCACAATACTTTAATAACCATGAAGGAAAAATCAAATACAACTTTATTACCTGTTATAATTTAGAATGTAGCACATAAAGGCTCAGATGGATTTTGTAAATGAAAACATGTGTACATGCGTGTACACACACACACACACACACACACACACACACACACATTCACTTTAGCCTGCTTTCTATCCTATGGAAATAGTAAGAAAGGACAAAAACCAACAGCTACCTTCGGCATGGGGAACTGGCATGCTCCCGAGCAATAATACGCATCAAAAGACTTGGGGGAGATAATCCACTCACTCCAGCCAATGTCTGCAAAGTCTACTTTAAGGTATCTCCGGGCGCAATTCCGAGGTTCCACCCACTGCTTTCTTCTTGCCTTCTTCAGTGTCTGCTCATCAAATTGCAGAGTCTGGCTCTTCTGGTGGGGCCCTTTCCTCTGTTTCTTTTTGCTCTTGCTTTTCTCAGTGGGCTGTGTCTGAAGGGTCTTGTAAGGCTTCCTTTCATCCCATACCCCGTCCTCCTTGTACTGATACTCTGCCCCAGGGAGCTCGTTGTTTTGCAGAGGCAACAAGACCGCTGTAGAGCGCTTCTTCCTCCGTTCAATGGATAGGGCGACTCTGAGGTGGCTGTCCAGCTTAGGCACAGCTCCGGTGGGGAAATTCCAGTGTCCCTGGAAGCTTGACACCACACTTTCTGGCTCAGAGATGGCAGCGTCATTGGCATACACCAAGATATAAGGCTCCAGAAAAGGTGACATACTCTTTGGCAACTGGTGTGCTTTGGATGTTATGTTGAACCCTATGAGGAACTCCCCATCTTCCTTGGCTTTCCTGAGAAGCTGAGTGATGTCTTTAGATACCCAGGGTGACACATTTTGATGAGGCTTGGCTACATCTACTGACAGATGGCCCAGGGGCTGATTTTGGTTTGGGTTGGAACTGAGGATCCAGGCAGAGAGATCGATGTGAATGTGTTTCCTCTGCTTGTGAGGAGAACATCCTTGGGATAGTGGACAACTCAGGCTGACGTTCACTAGCTCTTCAATATTGAAATACAGTGTAGCAGACAAAATGCTTTCAGACTTGGTTAGAGAAGTCATATTGAAAGTGTGCATTCCTTTGCCACCAAGTGTTCCTAGAAAGGAAACAAAGAGGACTAAATGAGAGTAAACAGCACCCCTACTTCATACCTATTAAAGAATTGGCTCAAAATAAGACAGGGCTCTAACTATAAGAGCTAAAACCATAAAATTCTTAGAAAAACATACAGAAAATATCTTCATGATCTGGGATTTGCCAGTCGATTCTTAGATATGACAACAAAAGTGAAAATAATAAAAGAAAAAAGATATATCAATAAAGATAAATTTATACTTTTAAAAACTCACCCAAATTAAAAACGGTGGCATGTTAAGGACACTATGCAGAAAGTGAAAGGAAAATCTACAGAATGTCAGAAAATATTTGCTACTCACTATCTCTGGTAAATCTTGTATCTGGAATACAGCATGTGAATAACATATAGAGAAAGAAACCAAGAAAATATGGGCAAAGGATTTGAGCAGACACAGTGCTAAAGATACACAGATGGCCAAGATGCACATGAACAGGTACTCAGAAGCAGTCACAAGGGCAATCTCAATCAAAACCACAAGGCTGTATTACTGGATACAAACTAGTAAGGGTATAACAAACAAACCAAAGACCCCCCAAAAAGAAGTTCGTGAGGATGTGGAGAAACTGGAAAGCTCACATTGCTGGTGGGAATGTAAAATGGTTCAGCTGCTGTGCAAGAGTTGGGTTGTTTACCAAATAGTTAAGAATATAGTTTTCATATGATCCAGTAATGCTATCCCCTTGCATGTATATCCCCAAACCTGAAAACAGGCATTCAAACAAGTATTTGTTAATAGCAGCACTATTCACAATAGCCAATAGCTCAAATAACTACCAACAGATGAACAGAGAAGCAAATTGTGGTATATTTACAAATAATTATGGTGGTGAAAGTGAATTAACACCAATGCATGTTACAATGTGAATGTACCTTGAAAACAATATGCTATATGAAAGAACTCAGATATAAAGGTCCATACTATTTGATTGCATTTATATGAACAGTGAAATCCATAGGGACAGATGCAGTTCTGTTGCTACCAGGTGCCAGAGGCAAGAGTTCCCCCTCACAGAGAAATGCCTTCATAGTTATGGGTCTTACTTTGGAATGGTGGATGTATTTTTTAACTACATAGACTTGGTAATTGACCCACATTGTGAAGATATTAATTCCCACTGTTTTTTTTTTTTACATAAAATAGTTTATTTCATGTTAATGTAAATTTTATCTCAATTTTTAAAAGTACAAAATAAAAATGATTCAGCCCTCTGTTTTAAGGGCTTGGTAAGGCATTATGGTTTATGTCTGGGTGTCCCCCCAAAGCCTCATGCGGTCCTGGGGCAGGCTTTTAGAGATTGATTGATTATAGGTGTGAGAGCTACAGCAGCCCTGGGGTAGATAGTTTGCATACATAAGGGAGAGAAAGAGGCTTCTTGTGGCCATTCCTGGCTTTTGGGCTTGTTGCTTTTGCTGTGTTCTGCCGCCATGAGCTGTAGCCCTCTGCCATGTGCCACTCTGCCTTGTAATCTGCCAAGTATGGACTAAAAGCTCCAGAAACTGTAAGCGAAATAAACCTTTCCTTCCTTAATTTTGGGCATCTGGTATTTTGTCCCAGCAATGAGAGAAAAGTAACCAAGACATAAGGCAAGAAAAGAAAGAAAGAGAAAGAAAGAAACAAAGTAAAAGAAAGAAAGGAAGAAAATAAGCGAGTAATTTTAAAAGCCCAAAAATGATTAAGGCAAAGTTCAATGATTTTTGCTAATTTTTACTTTTTACTGAAGTACCATAAATGTGTGAAATTTAGAATAAAATAGTAAACTTAGGGTAGAGGTGAGGGCAACTCAGAAGTCTGGAGACTGTGAAGATCTAGTCCTACACACTTGGCAAATTATTGTAAAAGCCTCCAAAATAAGGCATGTGGAATTATACTCACCTTGATGTAATCCTGGCTTAGCCACTTATGACTCTGTAACTGTGGGCAAATTGACATTCTTATTCATAAACTGGATAGAATATCTACCTCTCATGTCTTCAAAATCAAGTGAGATATAGGTAAAGCAGTTCATAAAGGAATTATGTTTCTTAAATATAAATTGTTATAGTGACCAGTGTCAAAAAATTCTGTTGTGCAGTTTGAGGTTTGACACAGTGTGAATTTAAAAGTTAAACTTCTGAGCTGGGCACCATGGCATACCTGTAATCCCAGCACTCTGAGAGGTTGAGGCAGGAGGATCACAAAGTCAGGCCCAGCCTGGACAACTGAGTGAGACATGTCTCCAAAAAAAGGGCAGGAGGCTGGTGAGGTAGTTCAGTGCAAATGCTCTGGGTACAATTCTTAGTATCAAAAATCAGTGAAGTTGTTTAATTGTAATTTCCAGTTCTTCAAATGCAGAAATAAGAGGCAATAAGAGGACTATACTGATTAGTAAGGGCACAAGCTGGCTCCTTCTCTTAAGATGATCTAAGAAGTTACTTGTCAGGCTAAAGCAAGAACTCTATCTAGGATCCCTGGTCCGGGATGGGTCAGCTGAGCCAAAGCCCTCCTCCTCCATGCACTTGTTCCACAGATATATTTGTTTCTGAAACACACACGTAATTGTGAAATTATGCTCCTGATCAAAAACATGTTTCAGTAAAAACAAAACATTTTTATGAAGACATTGAAACTTAAAATGAGTTCACTTAGTCCCCAAGCACAGAAGTGCAATGGGAAACATATCTGGCTCATTTTAACATTGTGTGAAGCAAAAGGAGAACACTGCCATTCATTCACATTTGTACAAACCATGACACCAGGGTAATATTTTACAGACCTTTCAAACAAAGCATGGCATCTAGGTTGTTTCAGACTCGGGCCTTAATTCATCCCAGTCACTGCAGCCTATACTTTTACCCAAACTTTATGTAGCACATGGGGATTCAAAATGGAAGGCAGGCTCCTCCCTTCTCTCCATTGGAGCTGAGCTGCACTTTGCACAGCTTCAGGAACTCTGGTGAGCTGCTGCCTCCCCCACAGACAAGCTTGGGACCAGGCAGAAACCTGGACAGCTTTAGGGGCCTGGGGTCTACTCCCTGCCCCTTCCCTCCTCCCCTCTTTCCCCATCGGAGCTGAGCTGCACCTTGGAAAGATTGAAGAACTCCAGTGAGCTGGCCCCACCCCTGCCACATCAGCTCGGGAGCCAAGGGGAGCCCCAGACAACCTCAAGGGCCTTGAGTGCTCCTCCCTGACAGCTGTGGGAGTATTGGGGATTACACCCTGCCCACACACACACATCACTGAGGGAGTCACACCAACCACCAGGGACCTTTGGGTCCTTGCCCCGCTACTATGACATCATCCTGGGTGTGAGGCTGAGCTCCAGGGAACCTCTGAATCTCTGAAAATGACAAAACAAAGGATCAAAATGCAATCTCAGACCTCTACCCCACCCAGAACAAGTCCAGGAGATATCGACACAGAAGAGCTTGGAAGTCAAACATCCGAAATTTCTAAAATGATAGCAGTTTAAGTAAAGAAACAACTCCATCAGGCCATAGAAGCCATCAGATCAGAAATGATCTCTGAGGTAGAAAAGGAAATGACAACAATAATGAAAGAATTGCTTAGCACATCTAAAGAAGACAAAAAAAAAATAGAAGAGCATAGTAAATTAATTGAAACCTTGAATGAACAGTATAGGAAAGAACTGGAATCCATAAAACAGATTCAAACAGATATCCAGGAAATTAAAACTTTCATTGAAAGCTGACAAAACTGCTCAAACAAAGCTGAAGATAGACTTTTGACCTTAAAGACAGCATTGCTGTGAATGACCATGAAAGAAAGGATCTCTTAAAAATAACAAGAAACCAAGAAACAACAATTCAACAGCTGCAAGACAAAGCAGAGAAAAATAATGTAAGATTAATAGGTATCAATGAAATAGAAGCTGTCAGCAGAAATGACATAAAAAGACTATTTGCAGAAGTAATAGCAGAAAATTTCCCAAGCATGGAAAAAGAATTGGACATTGGGTAAGTGAAGCATAGAGAACTCCAAATAGCCATAACCAAAATCAATCTACACCGAGACATATAGTGATCAAGATCCCAGAAATTCAACAAAAGAACAGAATATGGAAAGCTGTTAGAGAAAAGAAACAGATCACCTATAAAGGAAAGCCCATCAGAATCACAGCAGATTTCTCAATACAAATCATCAAGTCAAGAAGAGCTTGGAGTGAAATATTTCAGGTCCTGAAAGAAAACAACTTCCAACCCAGATTGACATACCCTGTAAAACTACCCTTCAAAATGAATGGAGAAATAAAATATTTCCACGAGAAAGATCAACTGAAGAACTTCATGAGTACCAAACCAACCCTACAAAGAGTTCTAAAAGATATTCTAGAAAGAGACAAAAAAGGACCACAACTTTAAGAACAACAGCAGAAAGGAAACACCAAGCAGAGTATGCAATTAAACAGAGGCAAACAAGAGGAACCAACAAAAGGAAAACAACATAACAAAGATAAGCCAATACATATCATGTATAACCGTCATTGTAAACAGACACAGTTCACCAACCAAAAGAAGTAGACTGGCCGATTGGAGCAAGAAACAAAATCCAACAGTATGCTGTACACAAGAAACACGTTTAACTCAAAAGGAAATTCACAGACTGAAAATTAAAGGATGGAAAACAATATTCCATGCAACAGGTACCCAGAAAAAAGCAGGTGTTGCTATTCTCTTTGTAGACAATGGGAACTTCAAACCAAGAACAATTAAAAGAGATAAAGAAGGTCACTACATACTTTTGAGGGGAAAACTTCAAGAGAAAGAGATAACAATCATAAGCATCTATGCACCAAACACAGGAGCACCCAAATACATAAGACAAATTTTAATAGACATGAAAAATGAAATAAGCAGCAAGACAATCATAACAGGGGACTTCCAAACCCCATTGTCACAAAGAGATAGATCAACTAGACAAAAATTTAGTGAAGAAATAACAGAACTAAACCAAATATGTG